TGGGGCACAGCATCGGGCCCCTATTCAGCCTTGGGCACCAGCTGCTTGGTGGGGGCCCACTGGGGGGTGTGTTTGAAGAGGACAGTATCAGCAAGCAGCTGGTGCCCAGGGCTGAGAGGGGCACGAAGCTGGGGCCCAGCATTGGTCCCTTATTTAGGCCTTGTCCACACCGAAAGCGCGTGCATTCCAGAGCGTTAGCTGCTGGAACGCACAGCGATCGCTAACAAACTTCTCCCCGCGTTTTGCGGCAGGAAGGGGTGTAGCGGTGCATTGCATTCAATGGCACCGCTTCCACACCCCCCGTCGCAGTGCGATCGAACGTGTGGCAAGACTTTGCCACAGTTGCGTTCCACTGCAAACGCAAAAAATAGAGCTTGCTCCAGCGCGTCGTCACTCAGCCCCTTTTCCAGCTGGTCACTAATCCCAGAGTCCATTGCGTCACTAAGGTTTAGTTCACACCATAAGCAGTGCGTTCCGGTCCGATTCTGGCCAGAACGCACTGCCCGCAAAATAGTGCTTGCAGCATTTTTATTGCACCACACCCGAACGCACTGGTGGTACAATGTGCCTTGTGATTCCGTGTGGGTGATCGCATTGCAGCCAGAGGGCGTGGCTACGGTGCCATTCACTTCAATGGCCCGCCACTCCCCCTCCAGCCTGGCAAAAAAGTGAGCCAGCCGCAATGCTGGCAGTGCGTTCTGGCCATAATCGGACCGGGGCACACTGCTTATGGTGTGAACTAACCATAAGCCCTGCGTCCAGTAGACATGTGCGATACGTTTTGGAAAAATTAGTTTTCCGGACGAAATTTTGTTAGCGGTCGTCAGTACGCATTTTCGTTTGTGGACAAATTTTCATTGCAGCAAAGTGACAATTTAAAAAAAAAAATGTTAATGTCACTTTGCTGCAATGAAACGAACGATACGAACATGAAATGGAAATTAACATTCGTACCGAATACCGCTAACGAATGTCGTCCGAATCCCGAAATAACGGAAAATCCGAATTAAAACAACATGCAACTAAACAATTTTTTTGCCGGTGCACATGTCTAGTGTCCAGTGGGTCACGAAGCCCTGCGTCCAGTGGGTTACGAAGCCCTGCGTCCAGCAGGTAATGTAACTGTGGAAGTGCAAGAACCAACACCACTTGTGGGCATTCATTATCTGATGTCATCAGGTCTACACTAAATGATTACCTCTAGAAATACATGAACTAGTCACATCAACAGTAAGTTGGTCAGCAGCTAGGGTTACTGCAGATTGTGATCTTTGTATAAAAACTATGCTTTTGTATTTTGGTATACATTTGTAAAATACACTTAAACTTTTAGAAGTAATATAACTTTTAATATTACCATAGAGAACTACAACTCCCAGCAATACTTATACAACAATGCAGAATCTGGTCTATAGCCTTTGCCAATCAACATTGCTGTATAAAGTATTGCTGGAAGTTGTAGTCCTCTATAGCTGGTACCATTCTGCATTCCAGTATAAAGTATTGTTGGTAGTTGTAGTCCTCTATAGCCGAAGCCATTCTGCATTGCTGTAATGCAGAATGGCACCAGCTATAGAGGAGTACAACTACCATCAATATTTTATACAATAATGAAGAATAAGTCCATCAGTTATAGAGGGCTACAAACGAGGACACTATAGAACAGAGCTGAACTATAGAACATAGGTGACAGCAGTCACCTTATCTGACTGTCCTAAGCAGGAACACCATGCGCCAGGTAGAGGTTGTAGGATGTGTAACCAGGCAGCTGCTCACTTGGTCCTCACGGCCGAGGCCCCAGCACTACCTCATAGTGTGCCTGCAGGGCAGCTCTGCAGTGCATTTATGTATGTCCGCCTTCTGGCTTCCGTCCCAGTCTTAGCTTCCTCCGCAGTGCATGGCAGCTATCGGACGGCGCCCCCACCATCTTTGCGCTGGGGTAGCCCTGGTGTCTGTGAGTACTATACTGGGCCCCCCTAGGCTCGGGCCCTGGTGCAGCTGTACCGGCGGTAGTTCTGCCCATGGCTGTAGAGCTGCTTGCTGCTACTGGCTGCTGTCCTCTGCAAAGGTTCTTCCCCCCACCCTAGCGTCGGGCCCCTATTCAGCCGTGGGCCAAGGCTGAATAGGGCCCGACGCTGGGGGGAAAGCCTTTGCAGAGGACAGCAGCCAGTCGCAGCAAGCAGCTGGTGCCCAAACAGCTGTTGCCTTTGCAGAGGACAGCAGTGCAGGGCCACTATTATGCCTTGGATACCAGATGCTTGCTGCTTCTGGCTGCTGTCCTCTGGAAAGGCTCCCCCCCTCTCCACCGTCAGGCCCCTATTCAGACATGGCCTAAGGCTAAATAGGGGCCCGAAGCTGGGGTTGGGGGAAGCCTTTGCAGAGGACAGCACTACTGTAATCATTAAAGTAGTAGATACTGGCTTCTGTGCTGTCCTCTGCAAAATGCTCCCCCCTACCCCAGCGTCAGGCACCAAGCTCATCCTGCTTACCTTTCTTTCCACTCCAGCAGCCTCCACTTCCGCCTTGATCTTCATTCCAGCCCACTAAAAAGCAAGCTGCTCCCGAAAAAGAAGCAAAACCCCTTGCTGCATGTACACAGGAAGGTACCAAATACCGAAATTGTACAGGGGGAGAGGGGACTGGGACCATACCAACTTAGTTCCTTACAACTTTAATGTATACCAAGGAAGACCCTGCAACGGCCAGAGACACGGTCAGAGACACCAGTGTCTGTGTACGGACACGGTGCTTAGTGTTTAGTGTTTTTTTGTATATTTTGCCATCAAAAGGCAGGATCCAATGCCCTACACCACAGCACCACCCTAACAATTAACCACCCCTACCTAAACACTAAGGGGTGGATTTATAAAAAGTTCACAGAGCAATTTTTTAATTTAAACTCAACGTAAATAGGGCAAAATCGAATGTTTTCTTGTGCAGAACAAATGTAATTGTTGGAAGATAACACATTATGTTACATTTGGACTGTGCGAATAGGGCAACATTTTGTGTTTTCTTGTACAAAACAAATGTAATTGTTGGTCAATACTGCATTATGGCCACTAGATGGAGCCGAGGAGCATATGCAATAAATACTTATTACTAGGGCTGTGCAAGTTAACGATTAGTTTCTCGATTAATCGTTAATCTTTTTGATCGATTAAAATTGTTTTGATCGAGTAAAAAAAATTTTCAACTTTCTGCACGAGCGCCAGCCAAGGCATTGGCCTATACACATACAGCACAGCAATGAAGTAATAAAATGAACTAGGATCACACTAATCCAGCACGTTATTATTGTGAGTTGCCGCGCTCAAGCGGCGGCCATATTGAGTGGGGCACGTGAGATTAATAACGTGCTGGATTAGTGTGATCCTAGTTCATTTTATTACTTCATTGCTGTGCTGAATGTGTATAGGCCAATGTAGTTGGATCTGTATGTGCGTTATAATTAATCAAAATTAATCGATTAAAAAATGTTTTGATTAATCGAACACGAAAATTTTAATCATTACCAGCCCTACTTATTACCTATCCTCCTCAGCTCGATCTACTGTACTGGTACGTACCCTTAATACAACTCCAAGTTGGACAAA